GGAAAGAGTAAATGGTCTTTCAAGTAAATTAAAATAATTCCTAATAAAGCTAAGGCTCCTGGCATTTTCCTAAAATTGTTAAAAAAGAAGGCTAGGAAGAGAAAATCAAGCTGACAAACTTATTCTCCAGATTTCCCTGCCTTTTTTTCCAGGCTTTGCTTTTCTCAGTCTTCACTTTTTGAAAATCAAGGCCTGATTTATTTTTTTTAAGATGTACTGAAATGGAAGGATCTGATTTGATTTGTAAAAAGGAGAAGAAAGCATATTCACCTCTGAGTGTTACAAACATTTTTTTACCTATTAAAAATGTTCAGACGTGAAACTATTTTGATGTAAGAAAGATAAGCTATTTGGCATGTTTTTATACTGTTTCAGATCTGAACTTTTAAATGTTATTTTGTCTTTAGCAGTAGTTGTGTTTAGGACACCATGGTTTTTGAGAAATAGCAATGTAGTTTCAACGAATGCATAGCTGGAAGAAAGATTTCACTGGTCACACTTTAAATACAGAGTCCTCTTGCTGACTGCGTAGCTGCTCAGTAGATCAAGTGATCTGTTAAAGGATGTACAAATTTCCTTGTGCCTGTAAGTAGAGTTAACATTGCACAAAAATGTCAAACTTTGATCTGAAAGTCTATTATTTTTCCCTTTTATTTCACACAAAAATTAAAGAACATCTAATTTTACTTTGTAGAAAAGCATATTGCTGTGATAGTTTTCTTTGTGAGCTACCTTAGCTCCATTAAGATGGTGCTGTGTTTGATTCTTGCTGATCAGAAGCTCAGCTTTTCTTAACAGCTCTTCCCATTGCTGGAGATGCTAACTATGATGAACTGTATTTACCCTTATTAAAGCAGGTGACTTGAAGTACCTGAAAAAGATTTAATTAATTTGTGCCATCTAAATAAGCGGTGTTGCCCAAGATCAAAGCTGAATGTATTAATTAATCAGATAGATGACCTTCAGTAACATTTTTCTCACTTTTGACAATCAATGAATGTTAAAAACACCTGCATGATAGTAATGAAAACCTTAGTGAAGATCACTGCACACACAAAAAAGTGATTAAAGATTACTAATAGCCTCTTTTCAAATTAATTGATGGTAGGGCTAGGTTTACTGAGAAATAACCTACAAGAACAATAAAAGATAGAAATCAGGTTCATCTATTCTGATTTAGCCTGCAGGAATGGCAGCCAGGTAATGACTGATTCTGATGAAAGTGTGTGTCTGAGCCAGTCCTGCCATGATAGGTTAAGACTGCATTGCTTCAATTTGTAATGCACTGCAAAGTTACTGGAGCCAGAAACACTAGAAACATATCCTGCTACCAGCTTAATGACTACCTAAGTGTGCCCTTCTACTTCCAGCCCAGTTCCTTTTTCCATAGTGTGCCAACAGAGGGCTAGATGGCTGATATAAAATATCTCATAATATAGGTTCCATAATGGCAGGAGTTCACTTCTACTTTTTGTGGGATGATTAAATGGGCCACTTGATTCAGTGAATCAGCCATACAATGCTTTTCTCTCAGGCCTACTAGCTCTTCAGTAGCTAGAATTCTAGGCATAGTTTTGATTGCCAGCACACGTCAGGCCATGCCTGCACTGTACAATAAATGAAAGGGTGGAAGATGCTCTTGGGTGGTGTACCACTGACCTTCCATACTACTTAACTGGTATATGTTTGGGATGCTTTGGCCCATGCAGAGTACCATTTTGTGACACTGTGCATAGTTATACTCAGTTCAAGGACAGCACTTAACTTCTGGGATCTTTCTCAAAACAGTATTTTCATGATTGTCCAATTTTGTTTCCCTCCTCTCTACATTGTCTTTCAATAATATTCTCTAGGCTGCTTTCTGTCATACACACAACTTCAAGTAACTTTAAGTTTGCTGTGTTTAACAGTATAGACAGAAACTTGGAGCTCTCCAAAAGACAGGAAAATACTTATGTGAAATTAAAAATATATTTACTAGACAAATACAGATGGTGGAGGAATAACCAAGCTGGCTCTGAATGAGCTACTGTGGATCATAGTAGTTGTAGTATGGTGGCAAGAGCAGTATGGTGGCAGGAGCATGACTTTCTGGCTTCTAGCCTAGCCATTGGGCTAATGCAGCTGCAGTACTTCTGATACACACTCTCACATGCCAAGATCTAAGCTGCATAATTTTGCTCAACATTGCACTGGGGAGCTTTGAGTCCAAAGCTGATTCTGAAAATACTGTTTCAACTATCCACATCTTTAGAAGTCTTCAAATTCCCATGCTGCCTTCAAACTTCAGGTCTCTCAGGCATCTGAATTTGTGCTTCTGAATATGCCTAGAAATGCAGCAGTTTTGACTGCACCGAATCACTCAGTTCTGTTTTATGCTTAAACCACTCTTGCTTCAAAAATTTTTTTAAAAAAATCTAAAGAAACGTGAGTGGTTTAAAAATTATGTATGTTTAGAGTGCATACTTACTGTGCTAGAAGATGCAGGTACCACTATTTTCTGTCACTGAATGCTCAAGAGCTACTTCCAGTTCATAAAGGAAGGAGTCTTAGATGAGTTGGTTGCCATCCAGACTGTGGGAAGCTACGGTTTAATAGCCTCCTCTGCTTGCAGGGTTTCAAATACACAGCTGCTCCATTGCTTAGAAGTGCACCTTCTTTTCTCAATTCAACAGTCTTTTCCAGGGTAAGGATGCTCACTAAGACCCTGTGAAAGCTCTGCATTATTGCAGAGACTGGAATGCATAAAGCTGCAACAGAATATACTGCATCCTAGTGGTGGGGGTGCAAAGTTGTGTGTGAAGGGACATGTTTCTGGTCTTTGCACCACAGCTAGAATTTAACCGATGAAGAGATGAAGTGCACAAACAGTGGGGTAAGTGGGAACTCGAATCAGGTTCTCTCTCCCTGCAAGAGTCCTGACCTTTAGCTACAGTTAGGTGTTCCGTTGTTCTCTTTAGCCTACCACATCTGGAATTGTGTGGTGGTGTACACTCATGGGGGAACTGATAAGCAGTCTACCCAAAAAAGTGTATCTCCCTCTGTCTCTTCACAAATACCTCTAAAATGCCTGTAACCTAATGAAGCAGACAAATTGATGTGACAGTCCGGTATTTCCTCTGTTCCTGTGCTTCTGCTTTCAGAACCTTAGTGGGTCTCAGGTTATGTCTGATCCTGTAATCAGCATTTCTGTAGGCAAATCGTAGTCAGGTTTGTCCTCCTTCACCTTCTTCCCAGATGTGCTAATTCACATGGCTTCTCATTTAGCCAGCTTATCATAACCTTCTGAGGGTTTCCCCAGGCACAGCTTAGTAAGGTTATTGGTGACCAGTTTGGCAGAGGATTTGTCTCTCTGTAACCATCTAGAAGTAACCAACTAGTAGTCAGGTGGCTAATCTGAACTATGAATCTAAGCATTCTTGATTGCCAACTGAGAAAGAGGAAATGGTTCCAAGGGCAGTTTTTCCATGATGTCTTTAATCTCTCTTTCATCTTTCTCTCTCTGTTAAGAAGGAGCCTAGAATAGTCGTAAATGCTTAGATGTGTGCACTTTAGTGAGATGACTAATAAATAGCATGTGTCTTAGAAGGTATCCCCTAATATGAAAACTTGTTCCTCAAATAAGTAAAACAGAGTACAAATTACCATAATTATCTTTAAAATTAAGTAATTCTGAAGATAAGACAGTAAGTAAGACATTTGTTCCACTATTTTTTACAGAATTAGGGGTTTATGTGTGATATATATATATAAATCCTTGGTAGAATGAATGGTAATGTTTTTTGTACCATGCTCACCTCAGACTGTTTTGTATGAAACATTATGTATTATTCAGTGTTGCAATGGTGAATGGTTTAAAATATCTGTTTGAGCAATCAGTATAATGATGAATTTGTTTGTTTCTCAATCAGCTAGGATTTATACATACATGTTGGAGAAGTCTCGTGTCATTATGCAACCTCTCAACCAGAGTAATTTTCATGTTTTTTACTTGATGATGGATGGGCTGTCTGCTGAAGAAAAATACACCCTGCATCTCAGTAATTTGTCTGCACACAGGTAAGAAAACAACTTGATATTTAATATTAATTTTTTTCCTATTGTATTGTGAGATCTGGTGTCCAGTAGTTAACATTGTTGTCATGACTTTTCAATGAGCTCTGAGGTTTTTTATTATTGAATACCTGTTCATGAGGATTTGGTTCCAGAGTACATGTACACCCTTTTAGCAAGATCAGTCTTACATCCATTAGGATTACTGTTTTACAGGAGAAAAAGGAAGGAAACCTCTTAGCTAATTTTTCATCTTCTGTGGACTAGAGTAGATTTGTTCATTTGATTTTTTTGCACTTGGTGAAACTTTTTGTCTTCAGGAAAGACTGTTTTATTAAAATCAGAGTTTTCTTACGGAAGGAGTTGATTCTGGTGAATTTTCACTATACATAACTTATATTTCTGTTTTCATGTTGAGATTTACTTTGCCTTAGATTTATTAAGAAAAACAGAAGCAAAGTTTTGACTGCTTTGAAACTAAGGACAGGATTCAACACCCAACACCTAAAGTTAGGTTTCTGTGTGTCTCCATGTAAGCAGGTTGCTCAGCTCCCATTTGCCATCAAAGGAGATTGTGTATCTGTTCAGGTCTATGTAGAGCTACATGTAGATGTGTGCTTTGGGCTAAACTGAACATTTGTGGCTTTACAAACTGTGATGACTATATCCCCTTTAATAGCAAGGGCTTAGATATAAAGAGCTGTATATAGACACCTGAATGTAGTTTATCTGAGTCTGAATACACTCCAAATGTTACACGTGAATGGAATTTTTTATTTTTTTTTCAGCAGTATCTCAAAGTTATTCATTCACATTCTTTTGGAATTAAATAATATTCCAGATGTAGATTATTTGCCTTTCTTTCTTCAGTCTTTCCTAGGTGATTCTGTAGAAATACCATATAATGAGAAAAGCCTGCTTGGTATTAATGATCTCTTAAATTGGCTAAGTTTATAACAGGCATAGTGAATAGCTGCAAAAAGGCCAATAGTAGTTAAAATAATGTAAAATGAGTGGTTTGAGTTTTTTATATCTAAGCCTTTTTCACATTTATTTCTCTCAGCTTTTCTATCTTCCATTCTGGCTGGTGCTTGGATAAAATAGAATTCCCAGATTCAGGGCCTGTAAATAGAAAGATGCCACATTTATTTTTGTAGAAATAAAGGTTTCTTGATTGTGATTTTTGCATAAAGGCAAGTAGTCACACTACTGTTGTTTGGTAATATTTTAAGCTGTTAGCACTTCTGGTATTATAGAGGATAGAGTAATGGACTAGCTCTGAAGAAACTTAAGGCCAAGTTGCTTTACGAAACATTACCCACTTCAAAGAGGGGGAGAGGAAGAGTTAAATTCTACATTGTAATTCTTCTGAAGGCTTTGAAGGCCAAAAGGATTCTGAGGTCCTGATCATTAATTTATTCCTCCTCTAGCAAAAGTTGTTTGGAATCACTCAGTTTATTCAGAAAGTGAAATAGTTTGAAGTCACTTTGCAAGAAGCTCCAACTGGAAAGAACTTAGCAAAACCATGAATAATTAGATTGACATGAACAAAGCTTTATCTGCTAAGATATCTGATAAGCATCCAAAAAGAACAAAATAGTATCTTTAAATAGATGTCTGAACATTGCAGTACCAAGTCTTTAGAAGTAATTTATAGCCAAATTTTACATAATGCTGCTTTAATCAATTATGCTTTACTTTGGCTACATAGAGTAGATTGTATCTTGCATTATTGAGGAAGAGTTTAAACCAAGTATTTCTTGCCTTAAACTCCTGAGTGTAGTAGTTCAGTGGGCCAGATCTTTCTTGGTTGATAGAGTTAACCTAGGGGTGAATTTCTGCAGCATCAAACTCACACATGAATCAGAAGGCAGGATTTGGCCCCTGATACAAATTCTTTATTTCTGGCTTAGTCAAATTCTGATGAGATCATATCATTCTGGTAACATCAATAAGTGAATCTGTCATGTTTGCTTTAAGCAAGTGTAATCTTGACTCTAACAGCAAATATAATTAGGTAACAACTCTTTTGAAACTATAGGTGGTTCATGCCCAACTGCTTTTCAATAATTTCTCTGTTTCTCTCTGCATTGTTTAATATTGCACCTTTATGTACAAGATTGAACAATCTTAGTAAATAAAAGGCTGCTAAGATCACAAGATACATCTATTTTTTTCCATTCTTTGCTTAAGCTATTGTAATATGAGATAGGAGACATAGCATTGGTTTTCTATTCTCATTTTAAGGAAAAATACTTTAAAGAGTCAAAGAAATATTATCAATAGTGATTTTTGTTAGACTTTATGCCATAAAAGGTGAGAAGTAGTTCATATATTAAACAGTGTATAACTGAATCAAGAGTTAATGTAAATAACTAAAAGAGGAAATCCCTCCCCTTTGGAGTGACTGAGAGTTTCAGTAAGGCTGGGGTTTCACCCCAGTGTGTAGAGGGAGTTGTTAGGTTGTACTTGTGTTGTGTTTGATGCCATCCTGAGAGGGATCTTCAGCTCTGCACCTCAAATGTATGTTCTTGCAAGCATTATGACTGCTAGGGCAGCGAATGAAGAGAAATAGCTGGCCCCTTTCATTGAACCAATATACAACTAAGTTCTTAAAGCAGCAAGCCATCTAAATCTATATAGGGAGGGAACTGAACGAATACATCTCCCACCGTGCACATGCATCATGAAAGAGAAAAGCAGAAGCAGTTTCTGAAAGGTAAGATCATTTTTCAAGATTTATCAGGGGCAGCATATCGGAAATTGAAAGAGAGTCTTGAAAGGGCAAGTTAAGGCTTTTTGATTAACAACAGTACTCCCATGTGTTCATTACTTTTGGAAGCTGATTTTTATCAGCAGATCCTTGATTGAAATTTCCAAAATTTATATTGATTTGGTGTGTTTCAAAAGAACTTTGTTTATCTTCATGATGATGTAATATAGAGAGATTAGAGATTTGAAGTTATATTCTCAATTTACTCTTGATTTACTCTTTGTATTTTGTGAGGTGCAGATACAGTCGATTACTACGAGCATTGCTTTCTGGCTGTGAAGTTTAGCCTCATAATAAAAGTATGTACTAGCTTTTCTAGCACATTATTTTTAGCCTCATAGTTACAGTAGGTACCTTAGTAATAATCTTGCAACCAAAGTGAAACAGAGAGCAAAGAAGAGAGTGCCAGTGGTGACAGATCGGCTTGTAAACGGTCTTCAACCCTGCTGAAGAAAGGGTACTAAAAGAGTAAGAGAAAGAGAGGAAAGAAAATATGCAGGGGAAAAAACTTACAGAAAAGGAAGTGGGAAGACTTGCTTTAATTATTATGAATAATTGCTTCATATTAGCAATATGATATTCCAACAATAGAAGAATGTCTTTGTGCGATAGGTCTATGTAAGATACTCAAACATCCTGTCATTAAAAATCATGTCATCACATTTGTATATGTATATTAGGAATACAGGGGAGAACTTTGTAGAGTAGGGATGATGATTGGACTCTGTGATCCCAAGGGTCTTTCCCAACCTGAATAGTTCTATGATTCTGTGATAGCTTAAGGCTACTGCACGATAGAAAATTGTTTCAGAAATGGCAGTGGATTTGGCAGCTGGTCAACTCGATCTCACCATTTTCAGTTTAAACAAGATTGCTAGTTCTCCTAATTAATTGTACTGTTACGGCCTTAACTATCATAGGCAAACTCATACAATGCTCTCAGTATTGCAGGGTGATTCTGACAGATCTTTTGTAGTCCTCCATTGTAACGTCAGATCTTTGTCAACCAACGTTTAGAGGTTGAAATATACTGCTTGTAAATAAGGTGTATGTGTAAAACTAAACAACTTTGAGCAGAGGAAAATGCTAATATACACATTCATGCAGAAGCTGGACTAAGGCTGGGGAGTGCATTTTGTGTTTGTATTTTCAGATTGCTGTTCCCAGATATGCAAAACTTTCCTTCTTCCCACAGAGCAATGATGTGCACTGTAGTGTGTGTTCTCTCTGCCTATGCTGTTTCCTACCCCACCACCCCCACCATGCTTAAAAAGCAGTGACATTCTTCTGCAACAGTAGCTGTGTATAAGTTCATAGGACTGGTGTATCTTCTTTTACAGTTTCTCAGTGTAGGTGTCCTTCTCATTGCAAATAAGAAAACTGTCTTAATTTCAGTGATAAAGCAGTAATTTTAGTGATTGAATTTCTCATTAAAATCTAAACTGATCAGAACTTCTTTGCTTGGTGATTGAGGAAATTCCAACTCTTGTACAATAAGGCTGATCTTCAGAGTGACCTTGGAGATTACAGTGAGAAAAAGTGAATAATGTATAAAAGATCCCAGAAGACATTTAGAGGCATTAAGTACAAAGGCATATGCCTGATTTTTGTGTGTGTGTTTCCAGTCATCATCTTTTCTAACAAGAACTAATACAATGTGTGCAAAATGGTGATTATTCTAATGTTGTCCATACTGAATATCACTCTTCCTTTCCTTCACATGCAAGAGCTCAGAAGGAGAATTTTCAAGATTATGAGTGGCCACTAGCTCCAGCTGTCCCCAGTTTGACCAACTTAGGAGGCAACCTCTTGCTTTTTTAACTGCTACAGATATAAAACCAGGAAGACGTTGTATATTTCGATGCCTTCTCTCTTTCTTTTCTCTCCGTGTATCTTTGCATGCCATTTTTCTTTCCAATCATGTGACTATTTTCTCATTTAAGATGCAGCAGAAAGAATTATCAGTCTTGAAAATAGCACTTTCCTCTAGCTATGCCATTCATCTACAAATATAGCTGTGGCAGTCTAATAATAAAAGTTAAATTCATAGAGAAAATTTGTTGGGTTTTTTTCATTAATCCCACATAATTGGAAAACTCCACATTTTAGGGACTTTCCAGTCTTGTGATACTTTATGCTATTTCCTTGTATTCAAGCCTGACAGGTAATTTTTTCCTCATAGATAATCACTTTGATATAAACTTGCACTACCCTCATAAAGCCCAGCTGTGTC